TTCTATTGGGATTAAAATGAGCCTAGTTAACTAAACAACTGGTTGTATAAATCCCTGACCTTTCTGATTATGAGATTAGTGGATAATATTAAGACTTTCACTACAAAATATTCCTAAACAAAAGAGCACATGTTTAAATTTATTCCTATACAAATAAAAGATCAGAGTAGGGATCTGTTAATTGCCAGACATATTTTTAAAAGATACTTTTATGTTAAAAGTTTGATTAATGAATTATGTAAGATGAAAATATAAGTATTGCTTTTTTTATTTTGCTAATGTAAAATGTAATCATGTGCTGAAATTTTGTCGAAGGGTCCTTACGGGTTTTGTAGTTAAATAGTTTTTTTTTTCAGCGATAAGGGTTCAAGAATATAATGTTTTCAAACTATATGTTCATCACCATCAGTGAATTTTTAGTTAAATGTATGCAAAATATTTACTAACAGCTATATAATATAACGGTTTATGAGCATTTTCCGTGTACAGCCTCCTAGGGTGTACTAATAAGTTAGTTTTCCTTAGTAATATCACGTGTCTCTGATGTAAGCGACAGTTTACCATTATTTGTATTTAAAAAAATATTAAGGACTATAAATGGTTTATAACAACAAAAGAACATGCATGATATTGAGACTACGGTGTTGCAACGTTCTAGTTAATGACCCGTCATAAACAGTTGGTCGCTGCGTAGTAATTGGAAAATTGTTATCAAAAATAATAAAGAATATTTGCCACCTAATTAAAGCATTTACTTATTAATTTTTATTTATGCTTTTTGTTAAAAAAATATTGATAGTTATTATGTAGAAGTGTTTTCATACCAGAACTATTTATGACCAACGTATGACTAAACCTGATTACCGCTGCAGTATGACGTCACGGAGTAGTAATTTTAAAAAAATAAACAAACAAAATCAAGAATTTTTCAGAGAAATTTTTTTTTATTATCTTTACAAATTGCAGATATGAAGAATGAAAATATTTTCATATTGTAAATGTCTGTGATGAGTGATGAGTCAGCTTAAATAAATCAAGGTACTATTTTTTGACCTGATTTACCGCGGCAGTAAGATTTGACAAATGGTATTAACATTGGGGAGGCTTAGCCTCCCGAAAAATTATTGCATTTTTCAATTTATTGGAACCAATGAGTGACCTCTGCTTTTTACTTAAGTTGTAAACAAGAAATGTTGTTGGACGTTACTACTTATGATACTTAATGCATAATTTAATAGCTGAACCAATATGCAGCCTGCAATGAAAATACAACTGCGTCGTATCATATTTTATTTTCAACTGCGTTGTATCATTTTATACAAATTATTATTTTCTTGGAAAATAAACATTTCTTTTTAATTAAATTTTAGTAAATGATGCAAAATAATATTTTGAAGTTTATGGTGAACTCTGAAACGGGTATATAATTGATTTGAAGGAAAAAACGATTGATAAAGCAATATCAACTGCGTCGTATCCACATAATTTCATAAAAATTCTGCTCAGCTTCGAGTTGCAAGTTCGCTATAACTTTTGTTTTACAAAATAGTTATTCAAGCAACATATACCTAACAAACCGGAAAATAGTGGAGCGTGTTGATACATAATATCTGGTTTTAGGTCATTTCCAACAAAAAGAGTTATAAACAAAAACATACATTTTTTGTTCCAAGATGGCGGCCTTTGTTTACATTTTGTAGGATACGACGCAGTTTTAATTCCCAGCCCTGTCATACAAAAATGCTAGAACAGTCTTGAAATTTAGGGAAATTAAAATTTACACACAGTAAAAAATAAATTTTACTGAAAACTCACAGTATAACTAAAAACATTGTACCCTTTACATGGCAGACCATTCCCCTCAATAATGTTTTAACCCATTACTTCATGAGCATTTTGTGAAAAATGGCTGTTTTCATTGAAAAGTATCCCGTTACAAGTTCAAATTGCTATAATACTATAAAAACTGCTTCAACACTAATCAAACTTGGCACAAATGTTGACTGGACCATTGTCCTTGCAACAACATGCTCAGGCTTAAATTTTCTGTTACCATGGCAACGAGGGGACATCTCAAAATTGCCAAAAATCACTATTTTGCGTTGATTTTTTCCACCATAATTGATTTCAAAGTGCTGCAACTTCTCAATGGATTGAGATAGAGTCAAATGCTTTTCAGCGTTGGTTACACGTTACCTTATGATCAATCTGGGGTCATTTATAGCCTCTCACAAGTCCAAAATTTTCTTGGCGATGAGGGGGACTCCGCCCCCCTTCAACCCCCCCCCCAAACAGAAGGGGGCACATCCCCCTTCTGGCAACCCCCTGATGTATCTTTTGGTTGGGGGGCCGCGCCGAAAAACTGGTCAACAAAAAAGGGGGGGGGGGGTGAAAAAGGCGTTAAAAGGCGTGTATATGAAGTAATGGGTTAAAGAGACAATAATCTATTGTACTTTTCACAGAGCATACAATTCCCCTTCCAATATTCAAGTTTTTTCTATAAATACAGGATTTATTTTCATCAAATGGTATGAAAATAAACATGGCCCCAAATGAAATATGATAATTTTCATACCAGCAGGTGAAAATAAATCAATGTACATTTCATTTCTAAATCATCAGCATTATTATCATCATCACCATCATTATAATTATCAATGTCAGAAAAGAATTGTTCTTGGTGAAATTAATAAAAGGCGAGGGAAAATGTTTGCCCAATAATATAAAATATGAAAGATTGACAACAGAAGGGGACTTATGGACATTTGCCACCCTGTAGCTAAAAGTTTTAAATGCAGAATTAACATCCCTAAGAAGGTGCTATTGATCATTAACATGGGTTTATTATATTCATAATTATACCCCCAAAAACGAAGTTTGGGGGGGTATATAGGAGTCACCCGGTGGTCGGTCGGTTGGTCCAGACGTCCGTTGCATTTTCCTTGTCCGGAGCAGAACTTCAAGACTAATGGTTGGAATTCAATATAACTACATACAATGGTCAAGCACATTGAGAGGAAGTGCAGTGCACAAAAACCATTACTCTATCTTGAAGAACCATAACTATCTAAAGTAATTACAGAGTTATTGCCCTTTGTTGCTTTTCCATTGCTTTTTTTTGTCCAGACCATAACTTGAAGACTAATAGTTTGAATTCAATATAACTACATACAATGGTCAAGCACATTGAGAGGAAGTGCAGTGCATAAGAACCATAACTCTATCTTGACTAATTACAGAGTTATTGCCCTTTGTTACTTTTCCTTGTCTGGGGCATAACTTGAAAACTACTGTTTGGAATTCAAAACAACTTCATACAATTGTCAAACACAATAAGGGGAAGTGCAGTGCACAAGAACCATAACTCTATCTAAAGTAATTACAGAGTTATTGCCCTTTGTTACTTTTCCATTGATTTTTTTGTCCGGACCATAACTTAAAGACTTATTGTTGGAATTCAATATAACTACATACAATGGTCAAGCACATTGAGAGGAAGTGCAGTGCATAAGAACCATAACTCTATCTTGACTAATTACAGAGTTATTGCCCTTTGTTACTTTTCCTTGTCCAGGGCATAACTTGAAAACTACTGGTTGGAATTCAAAACAACTTCATACAATTGTCAAACACAATAAGGGGAAATGCAGTGCACAAGAACCATAACTCTATCTAAAGTAATTACAGAGTTATTGCTCTTTGTTACTTTACCATTGCCTTTTTTGTCCGGACCATAACTTGAAGACTAATGATTGGAATTCAATATAACTTCATACAATGGTCAAGCACATTGAGAGAAAGTGCAGTGCACAAGAACCATAACTCCATCTTGACTAATAACAGAGTAATTGCCTTTTGTTACTTTTCCTTGTCCAGAGCATAACTTGAAAACTACTGTTTGGAATTCAATACAACTTCATACAGTTGTCAAGGACATTAAAAGGAAGTGCAGTGCACAAGAGCCATAACTCCATTTTGACAAAATACAGAGTTACTGCCCTTTGATTCTTTTCCTTGTCAGGAGCATAACTTAAAACGTACTGGTTGGAATTCAAAACAACTTCATACAATGGTCAAGCACAATAAGAGGAAGTGCAGTGCACAAGAACTTTAACTCTATCTTCAGTATTTATAGAGTTATTGCCCTTTGTTCTTTTTCTTTGTCTTTCTGGACTTATTACAGAGTAATTCAATTAAACTTCATCAATGGCCAACCACATTGAAAGGAAATGCAACATATAAGAACCACAACTATCTTTAATTGCCCACAACCATAACTCTATATTTCAATTCTTTTACAAGGTATTCTGTTACTAAGTAACATCCTCATTTCCAAAGCAGTCTTGTGGGGGTATTAATCGCATTTAGTGATAGTTCTAGTTCGTTATGATTATAACCTACAAGTACATGAGCTTAAATTGGTAAAGGATACTTTATAATTTATTGGATTAGGAATCATAATATATCTAGGGTTTCTGGACAAACATCATATCTGTGCTTCATCATTGGATATCTAAACAATTTTTTTATGCATTTGGGCAAAATTCTGCCCTTCAAACATTTGAGATCTAGGCAGGGGCCAGATACAATTTTAAAGGATGGAGGGGTCCAAGTGCTCAAAAGATACTTTTTAGCTCATCTATTCGAAGAATAACTACCATCCACGCCCTGGAAACAAAGTGATCCCTCGGAAGCGTTGATCTCAACAAAATTACAAGATAACTACAGACTCGGTTTGATTGAGTCTGTACATGAGGGGTCATATAAAGTGCAACATCCCTCACGCCCCTTAGCACCGGCTTGAGCAGTACTCAATTCTCAACTGGCATCAACACCCACTGCTGAGATTTAGCAAAAATCTGCTTAATAAGTGTACACAAAGTCAAACAAATAACTAGAATGGAAACAGCACATGTTAGCTAAAAATTATAAAATAAGATAAAAAAAGATCAACAAGGAACGCTTAAGTCTGATGTGTTTTTTTTTTCTTCACTTTTCAGTGTGTAGTCTCAGGAGCTACTTGAGAAAGAAGAGGAAGAGAGACAGCGAATTGAAGAGGTGCTAAGTTCGGAAGTGGTTGAAGAGGGTTCATTACCTGGTAGCAATTCAATTTCATCAATTGAGATATGTGGTAACACCACTTCCAGAGCCTGCCAGACATCAGAGGTGAGTTACATTACTACTGTATTAAAATCAAGATTTCAGATTAAAGTTTTGGTGCAGTTAAATATTGTAAGGGACATGTACAAATACTTATCATTTTACATGCAAGAACATAGAATGTAATCCTTATTAGTCCCCTACCGGTTTAACCGGAGGGGACTTTAGGTTTACCCTCCGTCCGTCTGTCTGTCTGTCTGTCCGTCTGTCAGTCCGTCCGTCCACAAAACTGGATCCCGCTATAACGCAAAATGTACTGAAAATATTTTAATGAAACTTGATATATGGATAGATGGCAGTATGGAGATTATGCACGTCTTTTTTTTTTCTTCCTATGTTGAAAATTCTGGTTGCTATGGCAACAAATAGCCTGAAAATATGGCAAATTGAATACATAAACTGGATCCCGCGATAACGCAAAAAGTACTGAAAATATTTTTATGAAACTTGATATATGGATAGATGGCAGTATGGAGATTATGCAAGTCTTTTTTTTTTTTTTTCCTATGTGGAAAATTCTGGTTGCTATGGCAACAAATAGCCTGAAAATATGGCAAATTGAACACATAAACTGGATCCCGCGATAACACAAAAAGTACTGAAAATATTTTTATGAAACTTGATATCTGGATAGATGGCAGTATGGAGATTATGCACGTCTTTTTTTTTCTTCCTATGTTGAAAATTCTGGTTGCTATGGCAACAAATAGCCTGAATTTCAAGATTTCTGATTTAAATTTTTCAGCTTTTTCACTATAAGTTCTTTATTTCTTAAGGTGTTTACTTCAAACTTTAAATATAAGTTTCTGGTCATCAACCACATCATATGTGACAAGGTTTACAACTCTAGCACAAAAATTATCAGTATTACCTCCCTTGAACTTTTTATGAAAAAAATGTTGTCTTTTTTAAATAACTTCTTTATTTCCTAATGTATCTACTTCAAACTTCATATATATGTTTCTTATTATCACTCAACATTTTTGAGAAGGTTAAATACTCTAGCAAGACTATTTCCAGAATAATGTCCCCCTTGAACTTAGATTTTTTTCGAGAAATTGGTATTTTTCACTTCAACTTCTTCATTCATTATAGGATTTACTTTAAAATCCCACATCGTAATAATATGACAAGGTTGTATAAACATAATTTCCTTACTAGGCAGGGAAACTGAACACATTACTGTGATATAGACAAACTTAGAACTCAAAAGATTTAAGTTCATTCATGTCATTCATTCACTGGTAAAATTGACTGGCCAATGGCCCATCAGAAAGTTGCTGGGGTTCTAACCGGTAGGGGACTTATGGATTGCTTGCAATACTATGATAATTGCTTGTTTACCTAAGACCTTAGAACATAGAATGTAATCCATATTTACCTAAGACATAAGTTACTTTCCAAATAGTTAGCTGGCATTGCTGTATTTCATAATAATCTTGATGACCAGTATGACCTCTAAGTTTGTCAGGAGGGAAAATTCAAATTCCTGGCACTTGGAATGTTTTTATATCAATTGTTCATCTTTCTAAGCTATAACCATCATCGTTTTTGGTCAAGATATTAAGTGCATCAAGTTAAGCATGTAATTCAAGTGTTAATTGCATATTTCGTTATTTGTTAACTCTGTTAATTTACATTTTCTAAATTATTCCTGTCAATATGGCTGCCATTTTAAGAAATTCCTGTCTTTCCTGCCAGACTGCCAGGCCAAATGGAATGTTATGATTGGTCAATTGTGACAGTCCTGGCTATTTCAGAGTCTATATAAGTAGCCATGACAGGCTGTGTTCAGTTTGCATTTTGGCTTTAAATCCTGACAGTCGCGAAAACTAGTGACAAGAGCATTTTGTAATATTTTCATGGAAACTTCTATTGTTGAATCTAGCAAATTTAGTGCTATTCAGAGTTGAATAAAGAAATTGTGGAATTAACTTTTTATCAATAAAAGTTGTTATTTGAACAATTTTTGACTTAGCTTACAATATTTTGATATTCCTGATATTTAAAGGTATATAAAAAGAAAAAAAATCACTCTGAGAGATTTTTTTATTCTATCATTTTTGTGAAGTTGGCGGCCCAGTGGCCGACAGCTAAATTTAAATTTTAATGCTGAAGAAATGTTATTTTAACAATAAAACGGCATTTAATGAAGTTCTAAAGACAATTATTGTTATTTAAAGGATTCCGGGGAGGGCCGACCGCTAATGTTGTAAGAACTTGGGCCCAACCCGTTTGCTTTTGCTGTTTAGAATACATATGAAATTTGTATCTGTATTGTATATACATGTATATAGCAATAAAATATGATTAAACTAAATTTAAAGGATGTATAAAAAGAAAAAAATCACATTGAGAAATCTTTTTCATTTGATCATTTTTGTGAAGTTGGCGGCCCAGCGGCTTAGCGGCCTAAACTTTTAATGTTGTCTTAGTTTTGGAAAAGAATTGAAAACGACTCTTAATTAACTTTTAAAGACATATCTTATCATTTAACAGTTATATAAAAGAAAAACATCACATTTAGAAAGTTTTGTTTTCTCTGGCGACCTGGCAGTTTGAAATTTGACAGTTGTAGAAATGTTATAAATGTGATAAAAACGGGACATAATGAAGTTCTTAAGACTATTCTTGATATTTAAAGGTATATAAAAAGAAAAAAAAATCATTTTGAGATATTTTTTATTCTATCATTTTTGTGAAGTTGGTGGCCCCGAAAGTGGCGGCCCAGCGGCCTGAAATTTTAATGTTGTAAAAGTTTGAAAAAAATGAAAAACGACTCTTCAAGTTTAAGTTCTGATATTTTTTTCGCCATTCCAGGTCTTAAAATATTCTGCCGATGCCATTTGCCAGCGACGAGCATGCTTCAAAGGGAAGTGAGAAGCTGTTTAGTTTAGCCAATGTAGTTGTATTTACATGTATATGAGTATCAAATCAAATCGAATCCAATTTATTATATATAAACATATCACAAAAAACATAACCTATACCGACATACATTTCACATTATATTAAAGCACCCTACAGACGCATGGTAACCACTTTTAGATCATAAGTGTTTATATTATTTATATATATATTATATATATATATTTATATATATTTATTTGAACACAGCAATCATATCGCCCTATTAACCCATTGCTTCATGAGCATTTTGGTGAAAAATGGCTGTTTTCATTGAAAAAGTCTCCCGTTACAAGTTCAAATTGCTATAATACTAATAAAACTGCTTCAACACTAATCAAACTTGGCACAAATGTTGACTGGACCATTGTCCTTGCAACAACATGCTCAGGCTTAAATTTTCTGTTACCATGGCAACGAGGGGACATCTCAAAATTGCCAAAAAATCACTATTTTGCGTTGATTGTTTCCATCAAAATTGATTTTTCAAAGTGCTGCAACTTCTCAATGGATTGAGGTAGAGTCAAATGCTTTTCAGCGTTGGTTACACGTTACCTTATGATCAATCTGGGGTCATTTACAGCCTCTCACAAGTCCAAAATTTTCTTGGCGATGAGGGGGACTCCGCCCCCCTTCAAACCCCCCCAAACAGAAGGGGGCACATCCCCCTTCTGGCAACCCCCTGATGTATCTTTTTGGTTGGGGGCCCGCCAAGTAATATTTTTCATGTTTTCGAGAAAATCGCGTTTAAAGATTTGAAGTTCCATATCAAATCAGATCTTTACAACACGGCAAAGAAACTTCACATATATTTAGATAATGTTTGAATGTACATGCTCAAAAAGTTGGAAAGCTTATATATTACTAATAAGTGATAATTAATCAATTAAAGGAAATGGTTCCTTTTTGCACTAATAAATATTTTGACCGACAAATGCAAGCAGGTACCATATGATCACTTGGCCCCTTTTTGCATTGTATGATTTTTAGCTCGACTATACGAAGTATATGGAGAGCTGTCCTACTCGCCCCGGCGTCGGCGTCCGCATCCGCGTCCGCGTCCGCGTCCAGATTTTAGATTAAAGTTTTGGTGCAGTAAAATATTTTTCACTATAACTTTGTCATTTCTTAAGGTATCAACTTCAAACTTCAAATATATGTTCCTTATCATCAACCACATCTTATGTGACAAGGTTCATAACTCTAGCACCAATATTTTCAGATTTATCTCCCCTTGAACTTAGAATTTTCCTTAAAAAATACTATTTTTTACTGTTACTTCTTTATTTCTTAAGGGATCAACCTCATACTTCAAATATATGTACCTTATCATCCCCATCTTATGTGACAAGGTTCATAACTCTAGCACCAATATTTTCAGATTTATCTCCCCTTGAACTTAGAATTTTCCTCAAAAAATACTATTTCTTACTGTTTCTTCTTTATTTCTTAAGGGATCAACCTCATACTTCAAATATATTTACGTTATCATCATCCCCATCTTATGTGACAAGGTTCATAACTCTAGCACCAATATTTTTAGATTTAGCTCCCTTTGAACTTAGAATTTTCCATAAAAAATATTATTTTTTACTGTTACTTATTTATTTTTAAAGGGATCAACTTCATACTTCAAATATATTTACGTTATCACCATCCACATCTTATGTGACAAGGTTCATAACTCTAGCACCAATATTGCAAGAACTTAGATTTTTTTACTAGAAAAATGTAATTTTTTATTGTAACTTTTTTATTTTTAAAGGTATCTACCTCAAACTTCAAATACTTATTCCTTATCATCAATTACATTTTATGTGACAATGTTCATAACTCTTGAAGCAATATTTACAGATTTATCTGTCTTTGAACTTAGGATTTTCTTTAAGAAATATAATAACTTCTTTACTTTTTAAGGTATCTACTTCAAACTTCAAATATATATTTCTTATCATTACACAAATGTTGTGTGACAAGGTCCATAACTCTAGGATGACTATTTCTAGAATTATTCCCCTTGATCTTGGAATTAATGTTAACAAATGTTATTTTTTTTCTATAACTTAATACATAATTATACATAATGGATTTTTCTTTCATAGTTTTGTCCTCCTTACTGCGTCCAGTATTTTATTAGTCGAGCTTCGCTGTCTCCTGTGACAGCTCTTGTTAACATTTGCTGTCGAATATATCAAAAAAAGGTACCATATGGCAGTTGGCACCTTTTTGTCCTAACAATATTAACAAAAAGCATCACTTGGTTACAATTTTATTCTACAATGATACAAATAATAATATGAAATTCTTGTGTTTTCAGTAAATGTCTGATACAACTATCACACTGCATGTTTTGAAAGTCTTCCTAAGTGTGATCAATCTCAATGCCTATGTCAAAATCTCTTACATTGTTAGTCAAAATCAGAATCATTCTCATCCGATTCCATTGTGACATAATCCTTTTCTTTCTTTTATGTTGGTTAAGTAGCTTTATAATTATGGAACTCTTTTTGGATAATTTTCTTTGCACACAAAGTAACCATGTCATTTTTCTTTTGAATAGAAACTGGAGGTTTGGTATCATAACTTCATATATTGTTCACCATTTGTCCAGTAATACTTTAGATTCTGTATTCTGAACTTCTATTTCCATAAAATCTTCAGCATTGAAGCTCTAATTTACAAATACTGACTTTGGGCTTTCCTTTGGTACCTGTATCAATTCCACTAAATTCACTTGTAGCCAGTTTACTCTTTGTCCGTCAATGGATGTTTTGAGTCCCAGACACTGTTTTTTAATGAAGTATTTGGAATCAAAAACATGGTTATATTTCATTGACACAGCAATGTATGGCTGTGATTTTATGGCCAGTGATATAAGAGAACACAATTGAATGATACATAATTATACAGGATTTTTTTTCTTTGCCCCTTCAAGAGTCAAGTTGTCACTCCATCTGTGAGTGACCCCGATACAAGAAATTTGTGATCAATCTTAAACTTGAAACTTGTAATAATATAAAAGAAGAGACGCAGCTATGAATCAATTTCTGTTTTGTCCCCCGTATGAATCTGAAAAATATATGACTTATTTGACATAACCACACTACGATTACATAATATTTATAATTTGAATATATGGATCAATATATAACATTATATTTTTACTTTTCTGATAATGCTTCCTCCTGATGTTTGGCGTTTTCTCTAACTGTACACAAGTGCATATCAACCCGTGTCCAAAAAATATGATGCATTTGTAACTACATGTATTTAAACAAAACCGGTCAAATGAGAAAAAGATACATAAGACAGCCAAATGTAATAGTACTTAACCATGATAACACTGAAACGGTCGCTCTGCCTACTGCGCTATCAAGGCACATAAAATCTGACGTTTTTATTTGTTTGGGTCGTCAGACCAAACAAATAATGGTAGCGAAATTTCAGAGTCTAATGCTGTTAATTGCAAATGCCGAAAGTAGTCCACTTTTTTGAAGCGGTTACTTCCCGGATCGCACTAAACTGCTGACGAATTAGCTGACGATATAGATATATAGGAAACTGCTGACCAGTTAAATAAAGAAGGATTATCGGAAAATGCTGACCAGTTAGATAAAGAAGGGAAACATTGAAGGTGTGAAGTTATATAAACACGCCGTAGGGGGTAATAAAAAGATGGGAAATTACTTTTATTCTTTTAATTATATTTTTAATTTTTGCATTTATATGACTATGTTTATAAACTAAATTAATATATACATTTAAAGTACCATAATATCATACATCTTAACACGGATTTACATTACTATATCAAATATAAATCCGTGATTTTAAAAGGATATATTAAACAACTTTGTATACCTCTAAAGATATGCAAAAATTTCAATTAATGTTTTATAAAGAATTATGATGTTATGAGTTTTATCAAAATCTCTTGTTAGTGATATTTCAATAGAAAAATCTTGGAACGGAAAAAAATGTATTTTCAAAAGCAATAATTGCAATTTGAATTAACATTAAATTGGTCAGCAGCGTTTTTACTTAATTAAATGTCGACATGATTTTATAAAATATATTAAATTTGCATACATTATAAAATGAGTAACAATTTCACGGCAAAATATATTTTTCTCTATATATCTAACTGGTCAGCAGTTTCCCTATATATCTAACTGGTCAGCAGATTCTACTATATGTTTAACTGGTCAGCATTTTCTCGCCTGAATGTAAAGAGCGTTAAATTTGCTGACCATATAGAATAAGAAGAGTTTTACGGCTTAAATCAATTTGAATTAACATTAAATTGGTCAGCAGTGTTTTTACTTAATTAAATGTCGACATGATTTTATAAAATATATTAAATTTGCATACATTATAAAATGAGTAACAATTTCACGGCAAAATATATTTTTCTCTATATATCTAACTGGTCAGCAGTTTCCCTATATATCTAACTGGTCAGCAGATTCTACTATATGTTTAACTGGTCAGCATTTTCTCGCCTGAATGTAAAGAGCGTTAAATTTGCTGACCATATAGAATAAGAAGAGTTTTACGGCTTAAATCAATTTGAATTAACATTAAATTGGTCAGCAGTGTTTTTACGTAATAAAATGTCGACATGATTTTATAAAATATATTAAATTTGCATACATTATAAAATGAGTAACAATTTCACGGCAAAATATATTTTTCTCTATATATCTAACTGGTCAGCAGTTTCCCTATATATCTAACTGGTCAGCAGATTCTACTATATGTTTAACTGGTCAGCATTTTCTCGCCTGAATGTAAAGAGCGTTAAATTTGCTGACCATATAGAATAAGAAGAGTTTTACGGCTTAAATCAATTTGAATTAACATTAAATTGGTCAGCAGTGTTTTTACGTAATTAAATGTCGACATGATTTTATAAAATATATTAAATTTGCATAATGAGTAACAATTTCGTGGCAAAATATATTTTTCTCTATATATCTAACTGGTCAGCAGATTCTACAATATGGTCAGCATTTAAATAACATATTTTGGACTGTTTATTGTATTTTGTCATAGATATATCAAGAATGACACGTCGCGTGTGAAATCGATTTTAATATGACCTTGGGGCGTATCGATCTCGATAAATTATCAGTTTAATGGATATCTGTAGAAACATGTTATTTATAATGTAATAAAAGCTTATTAACTATAACAATTAGCACATTATTAATTATTGTTCAATATTACTTATACAATTATACGAACAACAAATAAGCAAACAGAAATCACTTTATTTCATATTTGCACTAAATACGACATAATAATTATATTTTGTTAAAATATACATTACATATATGTACATGTATATATTTTAACCTATGATGCATAGTTTTATACATACTTGAAACAAATTATGATTTTTCGTACATCATATTTTGACTCCATTTTTAAAATTTTAACCAATATATATAACACATAGAAGAAAATTCATTAAGGTACTTAAATAAAATATTATATCAAAAGAAATTGAGAAATATACAGTATATATCAATTGAAATTTTTATAATTAATATGTATCATTTGTAATATTGACATCTTGAAAAACATTTTATCAAGTATTTCTCGACCTCGCCTGTTATATCACCAACGGCAATTTGACACCTTCATTGTTTTCCCTTCTTTATCTAACTGGTCAGCAGTTTTCGATAATCCTTCTTTGTTTAACTGGTCAGCAGTTTCCTATATATTCTATATCGTCAGCTAATTTGTCAGCAGTTTAGTATCGCCCTTACTTCCCTTTAGGTCAGGGTATCGTATTGTAACACGGCCAGCGATTGGCTGAAAAAAAGTGCAGGGAAAACCGTATGATTCAGTTTATACATGAGGCGATTGGATGAAAGTGGGGTGTTTTTAAGTATAAAAACTAATTTAAAAAGTAACACTACAATGTTTTCTGAAGAAAATGAAATATTTCATGAGTCTCTGTGATAATTTTGACTTGGATATTTGCATTTATAAAAAGTGTATGTCAGTCCTGTGATCAGCAGAAAATTTCAATGAAATGGGGGGTAATCCTCTTTGAAGTCAATTTGCAAAAAATTTGGTCGGCTACCCCTATATAACAGGAACATTTTTATGTGTCAGGCATTTCATTCTGCTAGAAAAAATACCTCTTTAGCGTGAAAACTGAATTTTAAGGTAGGATAAGGGACCATTTCTTATAATGTAAGTCTATGGAAATATCAATGTGAGTGTCTGACCTAAAGACAGGGAAATTGGAACTGTCATAATTCACAGTAGAACTTTGTCTTCATTGATTACACCATGAAAAGCTGATATTTTGGAAGAATGGATGTATACAGTCTGTCTAGGTATGATATTTCATTATTTCAGTGCAACTGTTGGTGTTTACAGCAGATAATGTGTCAAAGGGGTCAATCTACAAGCATTGTTTACATATGAACAAGAGTATTAGTGTTACATAAGAGTTAATAATGGTTTATATTTTCTTTGAACAGTGAATTTGAGTGATAATCAATTGGTGATATGTTGATGATGAATAATGTAGACCTTGGTCATTAAAAATATTTTTCAGATTTCAAAGAAATGCTGTACATTGGCTATACACATGCCAGGTTTGAAGACTTCATGTATAACTTGACAGGACCTGATGTAAGCACATTGGCCACTTTTGATGGGTGTTGCAGGTATATCATTACAAATGCATATTGTCAGGTTCAAAACTGATATATAATAATTAAAAAAGTTTAGGGTGCTGTTTCGATTAACTTTTCGACTTTATTTAGGGGCGGAAATTTCTTCGCTCGGCACTAATTTTTACCATTTTGCTCAAATATTTAAATAGAATGTCACAAATAAATTGCTTCTTTGTCTGTTTCCTATATAAGAATGTTTTGTGTTTCATTTCCAGGCATAGATAGAAGCTATCATTTTAAGGCTTTTGTCTTAAAATTTACTTGGTTTCAGGGCATGAATATCAACACATACTTAGAAATTCAAATCCATTGAAAAATGTAGCATAATTCAGTTAGGTTGCTTCTGAATAGCCTCTTATTATGTGGTTAAGATGCAAAATAGTGATAAGAATTTATTGTTTTCTATTTGGTAATACATATTTACACACTCACAATTGTATAATGCCATAGTTTTTAGACTTTATGTCTGTTTAATGCATAATTGAATGTGCATCATAATGGCCAAGGGTAGAATTATTTTGTAGAAAAGTTTTATTGATAAGTAAAAGTTGATCTACTTTTTCACAATCATATCAGGCACAATTATAACACAGCTTTAGTGTCTGTGATGTGTCTATAAACAGAAAAAGCACTTATTCTGGTAGATAAATGTATAAAAAGGGTGTGATTATGCACAACTTCAGTGAATTACCTCCCTTTATTTATTGAGAAACTTAGATAAGTGCATAAATTCTAGTTTCTGGCTACCTAAATGAGAAAAATATACACATTACTGTCCATTCCAAGTACATTTTGGTCTGAAGAGGTGATTTACATGTTAAAACACCTGAAAGAAGGTTTCAATTGTCATATTTGACTCCAAATGAATGCAAAAATGACCAAAAAATGGGTGTAGAAGTCAAATTTTAGGCTTTTACTGTGCTGTTAAATCCAGAGGAACTTGGTTTTTCTATATATTGCATTTCTTTATATCCATGTAAGAGAGAGACAAAAAATATAAAAAGAATTTTGGCATTTTATTGACATTTAGGCTTGTATTTAAGACTATATATGCAAATATTTGGAGTAGAAAAATATAGCAGGGCAGTTTTGAAATACCTAGTTACACCCAAAATGTTGCTATGTGTGTACAAATAATGTGTAATCCATAATCAGGTCATTATACAGTAGTTATTAAGTATGTTTGCTAAGCTAAATCTTCATTCAGGAAGTCTATTGGTAATAAAATGTTGAAATTTGGGTGAAAAATCACTTATTTTGATATGGGTGGGGTGATAAAATTGCTCCCTGCTGCATCCTTTTGTTACAAAATTAGTATTTTGAAGCACTTCTGTAATGAGAACAGTGTAGTTTTGCTATCTGTGTGATTTTATGGAAGTTGTTACAAAATTGGCTTCAGAATAATGAGTTAAGTATAAAAATCACATGCTAAAATTCATCTTCAGAATATCCGGAATGCGGCATAACGGTGCTTGTTGCAAAAAAAGGGAACTTCAAAGTTTTAAATGACTTAAGAGTGGTGAAAATGCATCCACATTATTGGTAATTGTATATGCAACTTCATTTATTATTAGATTTTAGAATGCTAAACATTTAATATTCCCTTTAGGTCAGGGTATCGTATTGTAACACGGCCAGCGATTGGCTGAAAAAAAGTGCAGGGAAAACCGTATGATTCAGTTTATACATGAGGCGATTGGATGAAAGTGGGGTGTTTTTAAGTATAAAAACTAATTTAAAAAGTAACACTACAATGTTTTCTGAAGAAAATGAAATATTTCATGAGTCTCTGTGATAATTTTGACTTGGATATTTGCATTTATAAAAAGTGTATGTCAGTCCTGTGATCAGCAGAAAATTTCAATGAAATGGGGGGTAATCCTCTTTGAAGTCAATGGGGGACATTAGTGAATAACCTCCCCTGAGTACTCCCTATAAATATATAGGTCCTAAGCTATTGGATTACTCTGACTTTATCGCCTATTTCTTTGTAGCAAACTGAATTAATTAGGGCTAATTATTATCATTTGTAATATTCAGATTAAATATTGCGATAAGATGTAGAATCTGTTGACATAAATGAAACATTTTTTCTTATGGTTTACATATTTGTTGATGCATGTGGAAATAATTGATTAAAACATATCAACCTATCTTACATAAAACTCAACGATAAAAGCAAAGGATTCCAAATATTTGGACCTACTTACATTTTGGTTAACCTCGGGTTTTATCAAGGGAAGATAATCCACTACTGTCCCTCATTTGCAAAAAATTTGGTCGGCTACCCCTATATAACAGGAACATTTTTATGTGTCAGGCATTTCATTCTGCTAGAAAAATACCTCTTTAGCATGAAAACTGAATTTTAAGGTAGGATAAGGGACCATTTCTTATAATGTAAGTCTATGGAAATATCAATGTGAGTGTCTGACCTTTATATGTACACTAACGCCGAAAAATTCAGGGGAGATCACTGCGTAAAGTTGGTCAAAGACAGGCACATTAATTTTCAAGCAAAATAATTCCCGAATGGTCGAAGATTTCTAATATTGTTTAATTGTATTTTTTGATCGAAAATAAGTAAATACAAAGCGGACATTCAATCTCTGACACAGAAGTTACGACAAACCTAACAACAAGTAGTTCTCAAAACAGCTTAAAACTAGCGATTTAAAAGAAAGAAATATTTTTATTTTGTTACAAGTATCCAACAAATTACAACGCATTCAAAGTTTAAAAATAGCGTTGGCTTATAGAATTGTCAATAAATGCACAATCACAATTTACGCGGATGAATATGATTTTATCAATGAAAATACTATTTATAGCGATGCCGATTACCGAATACTACATAAACCGAGTAGTGGAATATATAGATTCTACATTCGGACTGTTTGGGCGAGAAGATTTTCGCTAAATTATTTACTTCAATTCTAAACAACAGGTTTATCCTGAACAAAATACCTCGAAATTAATAAGGATTACAAACCCGAAATGCAATGGAAGTTCTAAATTTAGAATGACTTGATGCTATTCAGACATTGATTGTATAACTTCTCCGTGGTGCAGGGGTAACGCGCTCTCTTAGTATGCGAGAGGTCTGGAGTTCAAATCCCAGTCGAGGAAACTTTTTTTTTTAATTCTTTTTTATGTGTCTTTGTTAAGGAAGTAGCCATGATATGCAAGGATAAAGTGTAGCTGTCGTAAAAAAATGAACATAAATGATATCTTGATGCAACTCTAGTTATGCAGAATTCCGTATGTATCAAACTCTGGTGCCTTGCTATGGTAGTTAGTATCTCAAAGTTTTTATAATACTTCTTTATATGCTCGAGACTGAAACATATATGAGCTGAGCATGACATATGTTATCAAATACTTTTCATTTTGTATAAATGTACTCATGCTAATTGAAAGTAAACTACAGAAGTAGCTAATGGCAATTGTTGCTTATTTTCATATACGTGTTTTTATGTATCTGAAATAATTTAAAATAAAGAAAAGGAGGAAAGAGGTTGGCTTATATAGGGAAGAGGAGGCCAGCATTTAAAAAATAATATGTTTAATGCTCTAAAGATTATGAAAACTTGACGCTGTTATTAGTCAGGGAAAAATGGTCTTGGTCAGGGAATTTTGATTTCTCTTCTTTGTGGGAACCCTGTTAAAGTCGAACTCGATAACGTTTACATTAATCGGTCATACCATTATGATTTTTTCCGCCATGAGTAATGATTGAAACACCTCCATTTTAAAATATATATATATATTTTTAATGTGAAGCCTGACCAAGACTCAAACCTGGGACCCTCGGAATACCGTACTGCGGCTCTGCTGACTAAGCTATCTGGCCGCCTACAAACTACCTCCCCTCCCCTAATTAGAGAACAATTCAATACCGTGACATAATCATTTTCGGAATAATTTGGGATTCGAACATAACACAACTTTGGGGAAATCATTTAAAGTGTCAATACTTGGTATATAATAAAAAAAAAATAACTCTATTCTGATCTCTTTTTTTTCTTCTTTTGTCTATTTATCTCCCTTTCCTCCGAGTCGAGAAACTATTTAAATTTGATACAGGCATCGCATTACACACTTGACATGTTCAGCTCCTCTTTATAATCCTTTACAAAGTAGTAGGTATTTATTTTCTTCTTGTAATATATGGAAGGAATTAAATGCAGGTACAATGAACTTTTGCTATGTCATGTTGTTACTAAAATGAATTGTAGATACGTTTTTTTTTACAGGAGAGAGTTTCATATAAGCTCCAAGCTTTCTACTCAATCCTGAATGAAATTTATATATTGTAATATTGTCTGTAAATAATGATGAAGAAATAAATATTGTTTAAACCAATTAAAACTAAGATGTACAGGCATATCTTAATGTGTGAAGGCTACTATTTCTTGATTTCGGAAACCTTATGTCTAGATGTAGGGGATAGGACATGTTCTATTTTGAAAATCTTGTCGTACCGATTTTTACATACCTCTCACAATGACAAGTAACAGATAACCAAATTATCTCCTGATAATGGGTGTAATGAATGAAATTCCAGAACAATTAGGGCTAAAAGATAAACATAGTAGTAAGATGGGGTAAAAATGATGTTGAAAAACTCTTCAGGAGACCCAAAGTTGTGTTATGTTCGAATCCCAAATTATTCCGAAAATGATTATGTCACGGTATTGAATTGTTCTCTAATTATGGGAGGGGAGGTAGTTTGTAGGCGGCCAGATAGCTTAGTCAGCAGAGCCGCAGTACGGTATTCCGAGGGTCCCAGGTTTGAGTCTTGGTCAGGCTTCACATTAAAAATATATATATATATATTTTAAAATGGAGGTGTTTCAATCATTACTCATGGCGGAAAAAGTATTTAGTGAGTAAAGTATGTAAAGGTTCAATGTAAAGGGATCCTTTTAAGGGGAAACCTCAGATGATTCTTACAGTGTAGAAAATTACCGTCTGAATGAAAGTGTTGTATAGCTTTGAAAATTGTACATCTTATCTCTAATTAGTGCTGTACAACTAAATCCTACCGTCTGGTGAGGCCTTTAGAGAGTTCAGATTATGAAGAGAAAGTCTGCAATTGTGCAATATTTTTTTGTGTTTTTGTATGGTTTTTACTTTCAAAAAAAACATTTTCATATTCTCTTATAAACCTGTGATTTATAATTTTGTGCAAATTAAAGTTAAACTTACAACGGTTTAGCAAAATTGAATGAATTTG